ATATTTCAAAGATTGTAAGTTCCTACTATTAATTGTCTACTTTTTAACTTATATGATTTTATTAATCCTTTATGTTTGTAGTTTAACGTGTTTTCAATTAACAAAACATGTCTTAAATGATGAAGGGAGCAGTGAATACCAGTATCGAAGCTGGTTTGTGAATTTGCTATGTGAAGACATGTTTCTTGATTTAAACAATACTATCCGATTACCAACGTAAGACTGATAAGATTTATTATATTTTATTTTATATATATATATATATATATATGAAATGACTAATCTACAGTCATACCTCTCTATAGCGAATTTTTATATAACGAATTTTTTGGACAACTATATTAAATTTACCCTCGTTATAACGAACTAGCCAATCAAATTCTTTAAAAAATTCACTATAGCTCTATAGCGAAGTTGAATTTCAGGACATAAAATTCGTTATATCAAGGGTTGACTGTATACGTTTTTAGCAGTGGTGAAATAGAAATGTTGATCGCAAAAACCAAAAAGTTCTATCTAGGTCGGAGATCTACGGGTTGGTATCATGATGGGATATTAACAATAAACATAAATAGCATCAATTTTCAAATCGGTTTCCTTGAGGTGGTTGGAAACGCCATAGTTGAAAACCATAAAAAAAAGACCGCCGACCTTCAAAAAATTTTAAAAGGTAAGAAATTAAAGCATTTCAAACATTTCAAGCATATATTATATGCACAAGAATTTAGAGCTCACGAACACAATTTTTTTTTTGAAAAAGCGATGCGGTTGGCTTTTTTCCAACTAACAAAAACTTTACAGGAAAAAGGAATAACTGATGAAGAAATGCTTAAACGAAAGCTTGAAACCTATGGAATTTTCGTCGATAGTAAGTAACGTTATTGGCATGTTCGTATTCAACAACCTTTACTAAACTTTTTCTTCTTTTTTTTTCAGGAAGAGATTTTATTTTTTATGCAATGATTTATTATGATGGGGCTTATCTTGTTGACGAAATTATTTCGTTTACAATTCCAGACACGCCGACGCAATTATGTTTACTAAAAGATATTGTAACTGGTTTATTGTCGTTCAGGGTAAGTTAGTGTCTGTAAATTGCAAAATATACATCTTAACACATTAATCAAGATTCCTTATGAACAGGCTCGTGTTGAACACACATACACTCAGATAACTAATTTGTTAAAAAGCGCAACGTCTCGACGTCGTCCAAGACGAATGAAAACTGATATAGATGTTTCCCCGGGTACTTCAAAAACTCTCAGAAAGAAAAAATAGTAATAATAGGTTTTTTATGTATCACTAGATCTTGACATTCAGTATGCATGAATTAAAAATTCTTGTGTAACATTCGTCTAAGATATTTCATTAGTCTCATTCTAAATCACAATATAATCGTTTTCATTCTTAATAAAAGTTTTTCAACAGCACTTCTTCTATCAAAATAATTAAAAGTTTGGCCTTTTCTGCTTTCCTGCGAAATTTTATTTTATCAGCAATTTTACCTATTTTTGACACTAAAACTGAGATTCTTTTGCTACCAACTTTTAAATAAAAAAAAAAGTACCTAGCGATCTTTATTTTTAGCAAATCTTTTAACGTAATCACTTTAAGAAACCACATGCAATAGAATTTCTTATGAAAAAATGCCGTTTATTTTTTATATAATGAAACTTTAAAGAATTTTTCTATTTTATTTAAGGTAAAATTATTAAATTTATTCATGGTTATTGTTTTTATTACGCCTATGACGAGATATATATTGATTAATCTGATTCTTATCCCATTCATTGCCCAATACTTCTTTAACCTGAACTATTTGATCACTAGTTGGATATTCAGAACAAGTCACCAACGGTTCTAAAAGCTTTTTTTCCTCAAGTTTAGTTTTACGACAAGTTTGCCTTTGTTTCTTTTTTGATGGTCCATCTTGATCTACCATATTCATTGAATCGGTTAGTATCTGTTGGTCTGAAATAGCTTGATTAGAATTTCCAGCATTTGATTGTGATGTTGATGCAACAGTAGCTATACCTTTTTTCTTTTTTAAATTTTGATCATTAGGTTTCCATCTCATAACTCCTAGCTTTCTCCTTTCAACTTTATTACTTTTTTGTATTGAAATGACATCTTGTAAGAAAATTGCTTCTATTCTTAAGATTCAATCAGAGAAACAATTACTAAGATGTGTAACATTACTTGCTGTAAGCTGATTAGAAGAGGTAGTATTCCACAAAGGATTTTGATAGCAATTATATTCATCAGAATGGTAAAATAATAACAAAAGTTTATTTACAAGATTTCACATAATTGATTTACGGGTATTCACAGCTCTCTGTTTGATTGATTCATAAGGATCATTGAGATATTCTGATAATAAGATTCCTATATGATTCCGTTCATTTTGAGCAATTTTAACTTGTAACTTTAAATTATTGACATCAATTACATTTCCAGTAATATTTTGTTTAATAAATTTAACGCTAAATGTCTCTAGTGCTTCATCAAAAGCAAAATAATGGCCTTTTCGTTTTTCATCATCATCAATTTTAACCGATAATACACATTCTAGTTTTTCCTCAAGTTTAAGATACTGAGTTAGTATTTCAAAGTATTTTGCAACTAATACTGGTAATTTGATTTTTCCACCGATGTAAATAATTCTGCAAAATAAACCAAAGCATTTTTTTGTAATTTATGATTACCAACACGAATTCCAACATGATAAGCTTTGAAGATTGATGACCATTTATAATAAAGATATCATATTCGCAAAATATTATTAGCACTACTATCTACAGTGAACTCTTGATATAACGAATTTTAGGATCTGGATATCAACTTCGTTATAAGCTTATAATGAATTTTCTAGTTCACTATAGTAAGGTAATTTTAATATATTTGATTTAAAAATTCGCTATATCAAAAGTTCACTATATCAAGGTTTGACTGTACATCCATAATATTATCTTTATTGAGTTTATTTTTTTCATGTAAATATGAATAACAATAGTTACTACATATCATATTAATTTTAAGACATGAACTGTGAAATGGTAATCTACGACTTTATCAAGTTTATCTAAAAATTTGACTCCTAATACTTTGTAAAATCAAAAATCCCATAGCTTGAAAATAATACAATTAGAACTCCGCACATATCTTTTGATATGTGCCATTAATCGAGAATAAGTCGCAGATTTGACTATTATTCTCATTGTTTCATTAACTTTCTAAAGATTGCTTTATTAACTACTACATCTAAGTAGTTATGTGGTTCTAATTTAAAGTCTTGTTTATACATTTCTGTAGATTGAAATATTCCTTTGTCTGAATTTGAAATTCTACCAGTTTTTAAAATAACTATATTAGGCGTATCAGCTGAACAACAGTGATCAACATTTTCAAGAATTTTTTGGTGAATTGTTGTTATATTAAAATCAGTATTATAGGTAATTTGATTTTCAGTATTAGTTTGAAAATTCAAAAGATCATCGATAATTTTATCGAATATATCCCATGTATTCTTAATCTGATCATTTATCCTAAAAAGACCTGATGAAGAAATAATTTTTTTCTTATCACATGCTTTTTCTTCTAAAGGAATTGGCATTTACATTTGAAATGCCATTCTAAGTGTTGTATGAGAACTTCTGAGTATTGTATCGAAAATATTTCCATAAGTAAAAGTTTTTTCTTTGAAGTCAATGTTATCAATAATAGCCAAATTTCACACATTTAATTTTTTTAATAATCTTTCAATTGGATTAACTTTAGCCATCCATTTTTTTTCTACTCGATATTCATGATCATCAGTATGTTCACTTATGAAGAGTAGATAAGAGTTTTTTAAATCATAGAAAAAGCTGTGATTTTCAAAACATACTTGTTATTAGGGTTCCTCAAAATCGAATCAAATCAAATATTTAAGCAATTTGAATTTGATTTGATTTTTTCAAATTAAATTGAATTAAATTAAATTAAATTCAAATATTTGATCAAATTAATTTGAATCGATTTAAATTTGATTGAATCGAATCAAATTGATTCAAATATTTGTCAAATCAAATCAAATCAAATATAAAAATTTTTTAATTTTACAATAATATATTAAAATAAAGTTATTCTAAAGTTTTAATTAAGAAAATTATTAGTAATTGCACTAAAAAATTTTAAAGATAGCTTTTATAAAATAAGTTTAGTAAGGGGAGTCACTGATATTACGTAATATAATTTTATTAGAGACGGACCCCTCCTCCTCCCAACATAAGATATTAAATTTTAACCAATCAAAATAAAAATATATGATACATATATCAATACTGTACATTGCATGTATACAATATATCAAATGACCGACCTAATGCTTTTATAAGGATAGTGAAACATCTCTAAGCTTTTACGCTCTAACTTCTTTCTCATGAAGATTTTTTTTTTACATGAACATTTATTAGAAACCATATTAATATCTTCTTCAATATGTAATAAAATATTTTTGTGTAATAGCTTGGAATGATGCAAAATACTACATCAATTATTTAATACAAGCAATCAGATGAAAGTTTGGTCTTAAAGCAAAATGGGAAGGAAGTTTGATCTTAAAGTAACAGCTACTATAACAAGTTCACAGTCATTGATTAGATTTAAAACTACCATAAAACCCGAACCTATCTACCCCAATAAAATAGGCTTTTTTAAAAGCTATCAAAAACATCAACTACTTCACAATGAAACCTAAATTATCCTGTTCACATAAATACAGTAAAAAAAATAAATAAATAGTATAAATAAATAGATTTTTATACCTTTTTATTTAGTATTGAATTATTTAGATTTTACAACTTTTGATGGTATTATAAAAGTAACGATAGCCCCTGATTTTTTCAGTTCCCAATTTTCACAGCTCATTTTCGCGTTTATTTCACGTATCTATTTAAAATGCAAACTTATCTTTTAACTCCAAAATTTATTAAAAACTTTTGTTATAAGAAACCAAATTCTACCTATCATCATTTTTGCAATGCTTTTGCATATAGACAAATGGTTTTAGCTAAGAACCCTAATTATAATCATGAAATTTTATTTTGTGAAGCAAACAATGAGTAGAAAAAATACAAAAACACAAAAAATATAGAAGAAATAATTGAAGATTTTTTTAATATGCCAATTCCTATACAAGGATTTCTTGTTTTACATACAAGATGCTCAACACAAATAATTAATGATTCACGCTCAGATACAACAAATACAACAGTCTGATTACCAACTCAACAACTAGATGAATTACCTTGTACAAATGCTATTTCTCAAAGAAAAGTCTATGATCAAATAAAAGAAGCTGAAAAAAAATTAGTGGAATTTACTTCTTTTTATAGTACCACTAATGATTTTCAACTTCGTAAAGATCTTCATATGCGTATTGAAAATTTAAAAAATGATCTTGAAAAACAAAAAAATGATTTGAAAAAACTTAAACGGAATGCAGATTATCAGCAAAAGTATAGATTAAAAAAGCAAAATGCTTAAGGAAAGAAAATGAAGTAGTTATATATGATCATGCTGGCTGTCCTCCAGTTCTTTTTGAATATCCTGATCTTCTTGAATACATATATAGTTCGATTGAATTTGGTGCAGCTGATGCTAAAAGAAGAAAAGAAATAATTAAAGTTAGATCAGTAGTACATTTATAAGAGAAGTTAGTAAACAATTATAATTAATACTTATCGATAAATACATTTCACAATTATATGCTTCTAAGTAATAGAAATTCCATTACAGCAAGAGCTCATCATCATACCACCATGGTCGGAATAGCTAATCTTTCACAGAGTAAAAAAAAAGAACACATTGATTCACATTATTGTTTAGCTTCAATAAAATCATCAAAATCATTTGCAAGCACATTCTTTAGTCAAACGGTCATGATTATACATGAAGTCGAAATGGATCATTTCGGATATCCGAAATGGTCGAAATGGTTGAAATCATTTCGACCATTGAAGGCTAAAGTCGCGAAATAGTCGAAATGACGTCATATCACATGATTTTTCATATTGA